CATGGGCTTGTACAGTGTTTTTTTTTGTTTTGTTTTTGTTTTTTTGTTTGTTTTTACAGAAAAATTCAAGACCTATCACGTTCAGAGTATGTGTAATGTGTTGGTGATATTTTTAGGAGTTTATTATGCAAATATGAGGGTATGGGTTTGGTTGAAGAGAATGTATTTTGAGAGAGGTTTGGCCAGCAGTTTTGTAAAGTATAGGTGTGTCTCATTGTTAGAAAGATCAAGTTCAGAATAGGAAAAAAATCATTATCTAAAATCCAGAATGGTTGAGTAATGGATTAGGGTATTGGCCATTTAAATAGACTCCTTATTCTTTTTGTGAGGTAAAGGAACTATTTCTCATTATCTTGGACCAGGAGAGTCACAGTGGGACTATACACGGTGGGAAAAGTGTGGCTAGCTGTGTTCATGGAGAAATTGCATAGAGCAGGGAAGGGCTTTTTTCCATTCCTGAAATGTTGGTAAACTGTGGAGGGAGGGCCTGGGGCCAATCACAGGCTTGAATCTTTGTTAGGTAAGCTCAGAGGTTCCCTTGTGGGGAACACTGCCAAACATGGTTGCATAATGGTCAATGAGTATAGTACATAAAATAGAGATCCTTCCCCTTTCCCCTAACAGTCACGTCTTTCAAAATTTTCTAGATTGTTTCAGGGCCCTAACTGTTGCCTAAGCAAGGTACCATCTGTGTTACTCTGTGTGGGGTGGGTGCTTGGTAAATTCTGCCAGGCTGCCTGGTAAATGGAGAGCCCTGGTGGGTTGTCCGCATTCGGTGGGAAGGGGGATGCTGGTTTCTCCCTAATGCTGCCTTGTGCTCTTCTGCAGATGTCATGTGGCCTGTGCTTTGGACCGTGGTGCGTACCTATGCTCCCTATGTTACATTTCCTGTGGCCTTCGTGGTCGGGGCTGTGGGTTACCACCTGGAATGGTTCATCCGGGGAAAAGATCCCCAGCCTGTGGAGGAGGAGAAGAGCATCTCTGAGCGCCGGGAGGACCGCAAGCTGGATGAACTGCTAGGCAAGGACCACACCCAGGTGGTGAGCCTTAAGGACAAGCTGGAATTTGCCCCTAAAGCTGTCCTGAACAGAAACCGCCCAGAGAAGAATTAATGAAGGACACAGAGCCCCATGGGTCCTTGTGTGGGCTGTGACTGGCCCTGCCACCATGTCTACCCTGCTCCAGAACCCACATTGGATTTGCTGTGTCGCTTATTCTGGCCCCTCCTGTACCACCCAGCCCCGCACACACCAGCCGCCCTCGTGTTGCCAGGCGGACACTCGAGCAGCCGAGGGGCCAGGGAAGAGGAAGGCCCTTGAGGGTTCTGGCCTGAAGGCTGCATGTGTTGTATGGTGGCCGAAACTGCTCAGGCTTCTGCGCTTGTGGGCGCGCCATGGGGAGGAGTGTCATGAAATGAATGATGGCTGTCTGTTTCTTTGGGGAGGCACTTTGGCCTCAAGTGGGAGTGGCTGGGGTTGGGGTGCTGCCTTAGGAGGGATGCCTACATGCCTAGTTCCAGTGTACACTGGGAAGAATTCAAAAAGCTACCTGGCTCCCTTCACTAGTTTGCCCTCTTCTTGTACTCATTCTTCCTGAAATCCTGTCCTGTCAGCTCAGGAATGAGACTCCCTGGGGAGGAAAGCCTTTTACTGTTCTTGGAAGCCCAGGTTGTTTACCTTGGGACAGGTGAATTTGCTTGAAAACAGTCACATTTTTCACCACCCCCATCACTGTATGGTACAAAACTTGATTAAAGTGGCATCTGAGAATCATATTGATCTCATCCTATCTTCCAGATCATGTCGGAGTCTCCTTAGGGTTATGCAAATGCAGGCATTTCAGGGTCGGATAACATTAACCTTTAACCAAGGGCTCATGGGCCCAGGCACTGAGTCCTGGAGGTGCAGGTTCCCAGGAGCCTTTTTATCATGATGAGAAAAAGCTTATAGGACCTTTCAAAATGTGAATTCAGTGTGGACCGGGGAGCTTAATAGTTGCTATCAAATTTTTCAATTATACACAGGCATACATTTTCCTCTATAAATGTAATATATGTACATTAAAGAATATTTGGTAGAGATTGATAAATGGTCGCCCCCCACTCCCTGGGCTCCAGTACAACTAAAAAGGTAGCATTTATTACCTTTCACTAATTCTTGGCATAGTTTTTTAAGTGGTTTTTTTTTTTTAAGATTTTTATTTAATTATTTGAGAGAGAGAGTGCAAGCGAGAGAGTGCATAAGCAGACGGAAGGGTAGAGGCAGAGGGAGAAGCAGGCTTCCCGCTGAGCAGGGAGCCCGATATGGGACTTGATCCCAGGACCCTGGGATCACGACCCAAGCCAAAGGCAGCCGCTTAACGGACTGAGCCACCCAGGCGCCCCATTTTTTAATAACCTTATCATTACTGTCCCTTTAATTTTATATGCCTTTTTTTTTTTTACATAGTGTTTCATATCGTAATCATTTTTCTGTCTTATCACATGGTCTTCATAATCCTAGTTGTTTTTAATAGCCACATAATTGCCCATCAAGTGGGAATAAAGCATAGTTTGTTTTTAATAATTTCCCAGTTGCTGGACACTTGGGTTGTTTTTGATTGTTCACTAGTGTAAATATTGTAGTGACTGTCCTTTATAACTTCTGCATTTGGGAGTAAATGGCAGGACCAGTAAATGGCATTTTGGATGAAATGGATGAGCAGTTTTAAGGGTCTAAATGTCTTTCCTAAATGCGTCAGGAGTTTATACTAAATGCTGCTGCTTAAGATGTTACTGGTACTGTTGGAAGGGCAGTGAGAGCAGGGGGACAGGAAGAGGCGTGAGAACCTATTGTCTCATGAAGTCCACTGACATTTAACCTAAGTGAGCAAAAGGAAGTGAGGAGCGCATGATGAAGGATGCACTGTCTTTAAAAGCGGGGGAGGGTGTCTGTCCCTGTGGGGAGGTGCTGAGGCCTGATGGTGTTAACAGGTGGGTGAAGGTGGGATGCCTGAACAGGTAGAGATGTCCTGTGGAGTGGGAGGAGCTGGGAAGATGTGGAAGGTGGTGGCCAGAGAGGAGGAGAGTGGAAGAGGCTAGTGGCTCCTCCTCTGTCCCTGAGGCTAGTTGGGCACGCTGAAATGAGCCGTTGTTGCTTTTAGGGAATAAATCTGATGGGGAGTGGAGGGGATGAGCGTCCGCTGCTGAGGTAAGGATGAGATTTCTGGTTCTGAAAGGATGTGCCAAGCTCAGCTGGGTTACTCACTGGCAGGTGGGCGGGCTTCAGTGACGGCCCAGTGCTGCCGCCCTGTGGCCGTCCTGAGCATGACCAAGCCTGGCATCGCTTCCCTGGGCTTAAGGAGGAGTGACAAAGACATGTGCCCACAGGGGTCAGTCGGGTGACTCCAGTGAGCAGGCCAGGCCAGGAACTAGAAGGACGGGCCTGCCTAATGGGGGCGGTGGCCATGCGGCCTTCTCCAGTTTGTGCTGCTTGCCCAGTGATGCCACATTTTTCAGTTTTTTCCCTAAAAGTTGCTAGAAATTTATATATTTTTTTTAAGATTTTTTTTTTGTTTATTTGACAAAGAGGGAGCAAGTGAGCACAAGCAGGGGGAAAGGCAGAGGGAGACTGAGAAGCAGGCTCCCTGCTAAGCAGGAAGATGCAGGGCTTGACCCAGGACGCTGAGATCATGACCCGAGCCAAAGACAGATGCTCAACCAACTGAGCCATCCAGGTACCCCTGGAAATTTAGATTTTTGTGCATTTTTCTTGAAACTTGATTTTTAAATGTTGGCATTTTATTTTATTATTTTTTTTTAATTATAAGCATGCTCACATACCCATGGGGATAATTTGACCCACTGGCTGCTGATTTGTGACCTCCCAAACTGCCCTGTCCTTCCAGTGAAGTCTGATAGGTATACATTTTTTTTCCTAGCAATCTAACAACTTGTGGCAAATATTAGGGCCCAGGAGTGGTTTCTCTTGGAACACTTTTGGGTGTCGTGCATGTGTGTCGTTTAATATCTGTCTAAGCAGAACACTGGGGGACAGAAAACCTACAGAAATGACAGCAACAGAGTTTTCCCACAGCCTGAGACATTTTTGGATTTGCAGATCTTTCAGGGTAAGCCCGTCACTGTGGCTATGCCTCCTCCCAGGGCCTGGCCACAGAAGCCCCATCTTTGGAAACCCAAGTTGCTCTCTTCCAGCCATCTCACTTTATGCCCCTTTTAAATAATTTCATCTCCTAGGGCTTTGCCCTCACTGACTGTCTGCCTCTGGCAAGTCTATTAATATCTGCAGCTGGGTCTTTCTTTCCCACGGCCGGCTGGGACCTGCTGCCGCAGGGCGGGCATGGACATGGCGTGTGCTTTCTTGCCTCTCCTTGGGTAGCAGGGTTTCTGTGGATGTGGGCAAAGGCAGGCTGAGCTTGCTGGGATGCCCTAGGGCACTGGTTTTCTTCCATGCTTGCTGATTCACCTTGGAGGCATGTGTCCCTTTTTATGGGCTAGCCCAGCAGTCATGATTCACTGAAACACATTAGTGAGTAGAGGCGCTTGGTGCTCTTTGCTTGGTGTCGCCGCCCCCCCCCCCCCC